ACTTAAAATTCGTTCAAAGGTCGTCCTTAAATTAGAGTCTCGCCATACTTATCGCTATCTTATAATGTATGACAGCAACACCATCAAAGGCAGGTTTTTTCCTGTTTTTAACCAGACTTATTTGAATCCGTATACACATTAGAAACAGGCAACTCTACTTACTAAACTGATCTGTTTCGTTACAGGCTTCAAGGACTATACTTAAGTATATCATAATTCTTTCAACTAAACTGAATTATACGACAACTAAGAACATTAAACTAAGCAAGTGTCATAGTTATTGTTTCATTTACACAGACATGTTGCTCAAAGTAGTTGAATGGACATAATTAAGCCGATAAACCAAAATACGAAATATAGGCCAGTTGAACTTACCTGAGAAAAAAAGTAGGATACATTTATTCTGCTTTCATACTGAAGACAACAGGCAGTTGTTCATAGAAACACAGTTTACAGTACAACAAACCTTTCTACCGCAAAATCATGCACTGAAAGTCTATCTGGAAACAATCAACTATGTGAATAAACTCGCTATGACTTGAGATATCATCCCAGCGTGCAATGGACGTACAGTGTAACGCAGTCAGACGTGGCGAATAAAAATTAAAAACAGAGCAAAGTTTGCTACATAGTCTAATTATTTAATTAAAAAAACATTATGAAATGACAAATACTGTGGTTACTTGAACGCACAAATGACAGTGTGCGATACATTAAGTTTACATGGTTGCGTTGCGGATAAGATCACCCCGTGCCGACTGTCCTTATTTAATTTAGATAGTGACTTAGCCATTAGAAATGATATTCTTTGTTTATTTATCTGGACACAAGAATATTTGTACAAAGGGGTACCAGATACACATGCGCCACGAAATAACAATGAGAAAATGATGATATAGAGAATGTAAGGTGTGTATAAATTAAAAGGGAACAATAACGAACGAAAATTAGTGTAGGATAGTGAAATAATAATGGGTGAAGCAGTGAAGCTAGCAAACGTACAACTAGAATGAATCCTTGCAGTTAGAGAAGTGAGGTCCATTTTTTTAGGAAAAAAGTAAAATAAAGTTACAGCATGATCGCCATTGGCTTTATTCTGATCCGTTTCTGATAACGTCTCTAGACACTGTGTGCTGCATTATCTTTAGCACCCCAACCAGGAAATCGTGAAGGACAAACAGATGCAAGTATTGTACGACTTTCTTTCACACCACGACATCGTATCATAAATTGACAACCTCTCCGCTTTTTCCAATCAGTCCCAGAGACACCAAAAAATGTACGACGCGGAACTCTCTGGAACGACATTCGGAGAACATGTCCAAGCCACCGAAGTCGACGTTTCAAGATGGTGACACCAATTAAGTTATCGTCGCTGTGCCTGAACACACGATACCGAAGCTCTGCATTACTAACATGGTGATGCCAATCGATGTCAGCAATCCTTCGAACACAACGATGATCAGACACAGGGTTGCCTAACATCCTCAACTCGAAAAGGCCAGGTTTCACAAGCATAGAGCAAAACTGCTCCTACCGACGCGTTGTAGATCCGACCTTTTACAGCCAGACTGACATCACGAAGGCGCCAAAGATGACCCAGATTGGCATAAGCTGCTCTGGCTTTCACTATACGTGTATTGATCTCATCCCTCACGCCACCACCAGCACTTGTGTAGCTACCCAGATACACGAACTTCTCGACTACGTCTATCTGCTCACCATCCAAGGTGTTGCAGGATCAGGGTCCTGTCAGTTTTGTAAAAGTACTTTGCAATTCGAAGGTGCAAAGCACACTCAGTTCTTAGGGGAGCTGACTAAGCGAGGATTGTATGGCGTGGATATCATCGCACAATAAGACAATATCATCTGCATAATCAAGGTCGAGAAGTCTTTCTCCAGACAACAGATCTACACCGCCATTACTTACATCCATCAGAGCTGTTTCCAGAATGTCATCGATGGCAAAATTGAGGAGGAATGGTGAGATCGGGCAACCCTGTCTAAGCCCACTGCTTGAATGGAACAGTGGGGAAAGGTGGTTGTATGCTCTTGCTCTGCCAGAAGTGTTTGCGTATGTGGCTTTCAGGATGTCAAAATCTTCTCAGGCACACCCTTCTTCAATAGACAATCCCAGAGCACACTCCTATCCAACGAATCGAAGGCAGCCTCGAAGTCAAGAAAACCTATAATTGCTGGCCTGTGATACTTTAAGTTGGGTGTCGGTTAGCTTTGAACCCAGCTCGGTTTGATATTTATTCGCAAGAGAGGCTGCGACCAAGTTAGTGACATCGATCTTTTTGGGACGCTGAATTTTTTGGCGAATGAAAAATAATGTAATGATAGTGCAGCCCAGGGCCTGATCAGAGTCCAGATAGGTATTCCATAAGGAGAGGCATTCCTATACACAACCACGCCTGCGGTAGCTGATCGCGATGTGATCAATCTTAGTCCAGGCTTGAGATACAGAAGGAGAACGCCAGGTGGCATGTCGGCGATGACTGCCCCGGAAGGTAATGCTAGCTAGAAACAGGTTGTGGTCTGTTTACAGTTGCAGTAGACGGTCCCCGTTATCTGTCCTGCGACTAACAAGTCCCCATAGGTCACATAAACGACTCTCTTCTGTGCCTAGTCACCCAAACTCGGCATTCAGATCTCCGGATAGTATTAGAGTATCTGTGGAACGCACTTTCTGGAGAAGAACAGACAACTCGTGGTAAAACTCATCCTTGATTGCATCCGGGCTGCAATCTGTCGGGGCATAGGCGGAGATGACGAAAAGACATCGTTTCTCACACCGACGTCTTACTTCGATGGAACTTTCTAATCGGAAAGCACGTAACTGACTGATAATGGGAATCCAATCGATTAGTGCTGCCTCAGCCCTAGCGCTTAGTGCGAAACCGTCGCCAGCAAGACCAGACGTGGATACTAAAGGGTCTCCAGATAAACACACATAAAACAAGCCTATCGATGCGACAGACGAAGAGCAAATTTGTAGTACTTCACCAGAGTCTTGAATACGGGTCTCAGATAGACAACAAACATCGATATTAAAACTTTCCGAAGACGTAGTCAACCCTGTCTGTTGTACGATCTCGTTAATGTACGAACGTTGAACTCAGCCAGTTTGAATGATTTGCGTGATTTCAGAAAGACCGTTTCAGTATTTGTATTTGGTGATAGCATTCAATTTTCGACCAGTCAGTGACTCGAGAACGTCTAGATAGAACCGAGTTTCCGCCACAGCGAGCTTCTGTATAGGCTAACAAATAAAGATACACGAAGTGAGAAGAGAAGAGGGTAGATAAGTGGCGTAGTGTATATAGAAAGGAATGTAAAATTGAATGTTATCAAATGAGTGTGAGTTGTCTAGACTATAATTGGAACAGGAACAGTATTTCCAGTAATTATTGTCATTTCATTTTATTTGTGTGTGGGATGTTACACCGCTCGGATGTACAGACTGAAGCAGGCAGCTTTCTTAGAGGGCCAAGCCCCGAGCCCTTGATCTAAAGTTCCAATCCACAAGAAGGTGGAGCAACATTGTGAGATGCAGTCCCATGTTAGCCGGTGATGAACAAGAGGTTCGTACACCATTCGTTCCCTCAAGACCCTGAAGCCGATGTGCAGCATTGATTTGGAATCAGGGTTTTACAACTCCTCTAAGGTATCGTATATTCACCTTTCGTCCTCTCAAATTCGTAACAACACCCTCGCCACAAAAAAAACAGTGGGAAGGACTTCCCTGTTAGTGGCTGTATACGCGTGGTCATGCAAGATCACTTCGAGAGGGAGGATGAACTCTCTCTATCAACTGTACTGGTTTGACGGTTAATGAAATCTCGTAACAGATGCATGGAGTTCATCCAGCTTTTGCCGATTCACACCTCTTGTGATACGCATATTGTCTCCCTGCTTATTTCACGACATTTTTTATGTAGCTCCGGAACAATCTGTGAATTAGATGATCTGTGTAGCCTGCAATTGTCTGATCGTGTGTTTTAGAAGCATTCGTCGTGTTTAGTGATAACCCGAGGTAGTGCTCAGGGTAGGCGTTCGGTTCAGGTAAAAAGTTGACTAATGCGACTATAGACTTTCATCTATTTAGGCTGTTCAGACATATGTTGTGCAAGCCTGGCCTCTGTCAACTCTGGTCTGTTTTGCTGGCTGACATTGTAAAGTAGTCCATCTGCGACATGTAGCAAACTACAGCTACAACTTAGGAAACTCCTCTCTAGTAGTATCCCAAGTCGAAAAAGATTTAGGAGTCCTGTTACCCCATGACTTAAAGTCTTACGCTAACTGTGACAAAAATGCCTTCCGAGCAAACCTTGCACTGGTAACGTTGAAGCGCATTTTTGGACAGTTTGACGGACGAACTTTCCACACAATCTTCAATAGTTTTATCCGTCCCCATTTAGAGTACGGTAACATAGTACTCCCTCCCTCACTCCAGAAGGACAAGGTCACTTTGGAGCGTATCCAACGGCGAGCCACGAAATCAGTTCGAGGACTCAAATCTAAACCTTACGAAGAACGCCTTCATTCACTAGACCTTTACCCATTAGAGTATAGGCGTCTTAGAGGTGATTTATTAATGGCTTATAGTATTCTTAACACTTCTGGACATCCTCTTAAACACCTACTTAAGCTTAGTTCGAATAATAACCTAAGGGGTAACACCCAGAAACTGGAAACACAACATAGCAAGACGGAATGTAGACACAACTTCTACTCCTTAAGAGTTGTCAAAAGCTGGAATTCGCTGCCGGCCGAGCTAGTCCAAGCGACTTCTCAGGAGTCCTTCAAGAGGCAACTTGACCTATTCTTAAGGACCAAGGACAGCATCACACTATGATTTACCAATTTCTTTTCCTCTTTTATTGTTAACATACCTAGGTTCCTGCCTGGAGGATTTGGTGATCCCCTGCTACTAGACACGGAAGCCTGTTAAGCGAAAGCTTCTTCTATTCCGTCCACAACCATTTGAACCATTTGATTTTGGAGGATATTAGTGGCGCCCAAACTGAGTCTTGACATTAATCTTAGGTTACTAGTGTGAGCGATGTAAATAGAATAGGATTGTAGATTGAAATCCAAAGTATGTTCACAATTCATAAACTTAAACGCCAACTAAAACAGCCTTGAATCGGTCGCAATGTGGTAGTTACACTCGTTATTCGTTTTCCAGTGCATATTGAATCAGATTGCAGCGTAGTCGTTATTCCTCGTTTCTTCCGCTTTTTCCAACCATGTCCATATTTAGCCTTAAATTATTTTTTATATTGCTTTCTGTCCTCTTGTTAATTCTCGGTAGGTGCACTTAATCGTAGGGTAGGGACTTTGGCGGATACATATATGTATATCAAGTATATATATACTTGTCTCAGATCTTACGTTTTGGATGACTGACTGATTGAAAATCCTTGTTAAAGAGTAAGAGGCCTTCATTTGTGGTAGCTTTAAGTCATTACAGTCATATACCATCACCATTAGCATTAATTCTAGATTAAAATGAATTAAAGCTAACTTTACTGGCTTAGTTAAAGTCGTTTTTAATCTTGATTTGTATGTAATATGGTACTACCATAGACAGACACCATCAGCGTAGAGCCTGGCACGTATATATCTTGGCTAAAGTCATACTACATTAGCACGGCGTGATGGGAGTAACTGAGATCGGAATAGTGTAGCAGCAATGATAAGAAGACTACAAAGTGTATCCTCAAAATTTTTTAGGAGCTCATGTCTTTTTATCTGACCACCTGAACGTAGTCTGGTTTTGTTTTACATATTAGTGTGCTTTAAATTGTCTATTGTTTGCCAAAGTTGTTATCATCTTCTCTTCCCATAAAGTAACTAGACGTCTTAAGAGCCACCCATTCAAGCGTTTTATTCTGTCAAAGTTTATCCCATTTTATCACACGACTAGTGAGTATTACTCAGTTATATCGAGCTGCAAACTCTATGCAGTATCAGCGATATGTACATACAGATTTTTAAGCAATAAGTCTGCTGTTCATATTTCGAATGACACCTGCCATTTTTTAAATTTGTGTGCTTAATGAGAAATGTATACTCTTGTGTAATTTCATCTGTTTTTAGTATCCAGAAGTACTTCATTTTTACTATCACATTTCTATCTCCAAGTTATGTTTAGGTTCAATCGAAATGAAAATAGAGTGCCCAACCTACATTGTGTGCAACCATCAAAGGTATTGGTTACAAAATGGTCTTGGCAAGCAGTTCCCATGTGGGCTAACTTCCCTGTGCAACATGACGGTCAAACAATGTATGCTTTCACTCCATTTTAAAAAAAGTGTTCCAATGGTATTTCGATTATAAAAACAGAAAATACTTGTTTACTTAAAGCAGAAGTAAACTAAGTAAACAGAATCTAAATATAACTACAAATTACACGGCTTATATCAAGATTCCAAGCAACCAAATAAACCTCTCGACTATTATGCCAGTAGTATTTCCGGCGAGAAAGCTTAATCTTTGACATCGGCATCGCACTTGTAAGCTTTCTAAACAATCTAAGCATCAAATATCTCTTCACTGACTGTAGAATACGTAAATGATGTACAAGTATTTCATTCGCTCTATGATATACCATTCATTTTGTTCCAAGTAAGTAAAACAGTCTGCTGATGTGTAGATCGTTGTCTATGTAGCAAGGTGCGCAGATCAATGGAAGTGGTGTTAATCCAGTGAATAATTTTAAGTTTTGGCGTTCCTGTTTACCTTTTCATAATAACTGTAATCCACTTTGTTATGGTGATCTAGATCACAATCGTCTCACTTGCGGCACAGAAAATTTTTAATCTTAGAAGATGGCAACATGAGTATTTGCTGTCGTTAAGTCGAAATCATGCTAAAAATACTTAAAGGATACTTTTTTATTTTCAGAGTAAATTTTATGAAAGATTCTGGAGAAAAAACTTCAGTTTAAACTCCCTTATCATGTTAAAGTAAAATATAACATAAGACTATTTTAATCGTCTTACTAAAAATATATTCGAATACAATCGGGAATCGAGGTATTCCTAAAATAAATACACTTTAGTGGATAATTGAATTTTGTATTTGGTCATATGAGTAGTGAAAGATGCACTTTCAGCTTAATCCACAAAGCAATTTACATCACAAACTTGAATCACAGATAATACTGAATGATACTCTAGAAATATTTTGCACCATATCGACGGAAAAGTAAGTGAAACGTTAAAGCACTTTTGCACATCACTACAACTGTACAGTTAGCCAGTCACATGTAACGTAGGACCTGACACAGACGTGCATGTTTCGCTACATTACGTAAATACAGGGTATTCCAGAGTAGTATAAGTAGTAGCAGTATTAGTGATAACAGAAAAGGGGATCAGAGAAATGACTCGATAAAATAGGGATTCATAGGATTGAAAATTTTTTAAAAGACAATTAGGTAATTTAGGATCTAAACGAAAACGGATATTAAATGTACTAACGCCATTGTGAACAATTACGAGCCATTTAACCCAGTCTCTAACTATTAGTTACGATAATCGCACGAAACTCACCCAAACCAGGTTGTATGCAGCTACCTACATAGTTCAGATTAACTGTCGATTCCGTGGACTGACGACACATTTGGATACTACAACTGTACTGTTTAAATCATACGTTTATTTCAACTATGTGGTTTCCTTATAACGTCACTAACCATTATTAGAGATATAACCAAAATAGGAAGGTGATACTGATATGTGTTAGGAGTATAAATTTTACTACGGGTTTTTGGAATATCTCCTTTCATTGATATTTCACTTCCGTGTTTAGATACCGACTTTCTTAATTCAGTGTATCAACTAAAACTCATCATTTACATTAAATTCCAGCAGTAATCTCATGGGGAATAAGAGCAAAGTAGAATCACTTACTGTTTGTGATATTACAGATGCTTCGATTTCGAAACAAAATTCTTCCGATGAACCATCCAGTTCCTTTGTTACTCCACATTCAAGTGCTCCTCCATTGTCTACTGTTGTTCAGCCTGAGGATGAAATAAGACTAGTTGAGTTTCTTAAAGTTCATGGATTTCGGTGGTATCAAGTTGTGATATTTCTCATTTCTATAATCAGTTACCTCGCAGACATTGCATCCGATGCATACTTGGTTTATACGTATTATATTCAGGTTAGTATGATGTCATTTTAGTCACGTGATCCACTTTCATAAAAGCGTTTGCATCTCATATTTACACCTTTTCTTCTGACAAGTAATTAAACTATTTTCTATACCTTCTTACTGTTGGAAGTGTCTTTCTTTCTACGAACTAATTCTTTGTTCTTGTACTACGTCCTTGTATGCGATCTTTCTTTTTTATATTACCACCACCGAATTAACCACTTCTATAAATCCGGTGTTCATCTTGTTGTGCTAATAAGGTATGGCAACTTGGACCGATGCACATATGTGTTTGGTCTTACGTTGTAGCAGACTGCCCTTCTTACTATGGCGGACAATAGTCTAGTGGCGTTAACTTGAGGAAATTTCACCTTATATATGAATCGCCAATCTGCTGTCTAGTAGTAGAATCGCGTAGTCGAAATTAGTTGAAAATATTGTTTACCAGAAATACAGTGTTATTTAGATCAGCGTAAAGAAAAATTACCCCTATGGCTCTTCTAGAGTTACTGCCGGTCCCATGCCCAGGTAAAGTAAGACGATTGGGCATGGGGTTGGCAGCCCCATCCCGTAGAAAAAAATCCTGCCAAAAAAACGTCAACCAGATTAAAAAAATTAAACCTTCGAAACTCCTCTAGGAGTTGAAGGAATAATTATGGCGCCTCAGGATGAAAGCCGAGATTCTTCTGAAGTCACGAGGCCGATACCTCTTCTAACAACCAGAGCAACATTTTTCATAGGTACATGGAACGTCCGGATAATGTGAGGACCAGCCAAATAACAACGGAAGTGAGGATATACAAATTGGCATTGCTGGAAATCAGCGAAGCCTATTGAACTCAAGCTGGACAGCAAAGGCTAGATATGAGAGAGATGCTGATGTACTTCATACGCGCAGGGATTTAGTCTGATGCTGTTCAAAGAAGTACGTAGTGTGTGTATAGGATAGGAATCTCACGGATCCAGAATCACCAAAGCATCATGCAAAACAAAGAGAGAGGTCATTACGATGAATGTTATCTAGTGATATGCACCCACCAATAATAGTAACGACGACAATAAAGATCAGTTCTATGAGAGGCTGCAATCAACCATAACGAAGTGCTTAAGAAAAGAACCGACTATCCTGATGAGAGACCTAAACACCAAGGTCGGAATGGACAACACCGGATATGAAGATATCAAGAGACGACATGGACTGGGAGAGAGAAAAGAAAATGGCGAGAGATTTGCAAACCTATGTCCATTCAACAACTTGGTTATAGGTGGTACATTATTACTACACAAACGCATACGTAAAGCTACATGAGTCTCACAGGATCACACCATAGCGAACTAGATAGATCATATTTGTATCAATAAGAAATTCAGAAGGACAATGAAAGGCGTGAAAACTAGGGGAGGAACTGACATGACTTCAGATTATCACCTGGTTATGTCCAGTATAAAATTTAAGCTAAAGAAACACTGGACAGCTGGGGAAACAGTATTACAAAGGTCCAATACAGCCTTCCTTCTAGATACTAACAAACTGAAAGAATTCGAGACAACTCTCAACAACAGGTTCTACTGAAAGAACATGGAACTACTATGGAGGACAACATCAACGTGTCAGGAGGTGATGGGCCGCAACAAGCATCATCATAAGGAATTGATCTCTATAGAAACACTGGACAAGATCAAAGAAATGAAGAACAAGAAGACAGCAATCAACAACAGCCGAACACGAGCAGAGAAAGTCAAAGTACAGGCTGAGTACACAGAAGCAAACAAGCAAGTGAAGCAGAGCATTGAAGTTGACAAGCAGAAATACATGGAAGAACTAGCAATGATAGCGGGAAAAGCTGCTAGAGAAGGAAATATGAGACAGCTATATGACACAACGAAGAAACTAACAGGGAAATATGATAAGTCAGGGAGACCGGTCAAGGACAAAGGAGGCAAGACAATCACCGAGATTCAAGAACAGAGGAATAGACGGGTGGAATACTCCAAGAAACTGTTGAATAGACCAGCTTCATTGAATCTACCGGACATCGAAGCAGCACACACAGGTCTTCATATAGATGTCACTGCACCAACAACCGGAGAAATCAAGATGGCCATCAGACAAACCTAGAGCGGGAAAGCCACAGGACCTGACAATATATTAGCTGAAGTCAGATATTGAAGTAACTTCAAACATGCTCCACGTTCTATTCAGGAAGATTTGGGAGGAAGAACAAGTTCCGATGGACTGGGAACAAGGACACCTCATCAAGGTTCCAAAGAAAGGAGATCTGAGCAAATGTGAGAACTACAGAGGCACCACACTGCTGTCAGTACCAGGGAAAGTCCAACAGAGTATTGCTAAAACGGATAAAAGACTCAATAGACGCCCAACATCGAGATCGACAGGCTGGATTTCGTAAGGATCGGTTGTGCACAGACCACATTGCCACGCTACGAATCATCGTCGAACAATCGGTTGAGTGGAACTCGTCATTGTACATCAACTTCACTGACTATGAAAAGGCGTTTGACAGTGTGGACAGGAGAACCTTATGGAAACTTCAACACTATGGTATGCCTGAGAAAATCGTCAATATCATACGGAGTTTATACGACGGACTACAGTGCAAAGTGCTGCATGGAGGACAGCTAACAGATTCATTCCAAGCGAGGACCGAAGTCAGATAAGGCTGATTACTTTTTCCGTTTCTCTTCCTTTTGATGGTCGACTGGATTATGAAAACCTCGACATCTGAGGGAAAACACGGCATACAATGGACAGCTAAGAACCAATTAGAAGATTTGGACTTCGCAAATAACCTGGCCCTTCTATCCCATACACACGAGCAAATGTAGATTAAGCCAACTAGTGTAGCAGCAGCCTCTGCATCAGTAGGCCTCAACATACACAAAGGAAAAAGCAAAATCCTCAAATACAATACGAAGGGCACCAACCCAATCACACTTGATGGAGAAGCTCTGGAAGATTTGGAATCTTTCACGGACGAGGAGGATCTGATGCAGAAGTAAAGGCGAGGATTGGCAAAGCAAGGTCCGCATTCCTACAACTGAAGTACATATGGAGCTCAAGACAACTGTCAACCAATATCAAAGTCAGAATCTTCACTGCGAACGTCAAGACAGTCCTACTGTATGGAGCTGAAACTTGGAGAACTACCACAACCATCATCAAAAAGGTAGAAGTATTTATAAACAATTGTCTACGTAAGATACTGAATGTCCGTCGGCCGGATACCATCAGCAACAGCCTACTATGTGAGAGAAGAAACCAGCTTCCAGCTGAAGAGGAGATACGGAAAAGACGTTGGAAGTAGACAGGATATATATTGTGGAAATCACCAAACTGCATCACAAGGCAAGCCCTAACTTGGAATCCTGAAGGGAAACGGAGAAGTGAAAGGCCGAAGAACACACTACGTCGGTAACCGGAAGTGGACATGAAAATGATGAACGGCAACTGGAAAGGATTGTCCAGGACGTGGTTAGATGGAGACTGCTGGTGGGTGGCCTATGCTTCTTCCTGAGGGGTAACAGGCGTATGTAAGTTAAAGGGAAATAATAATCTCGTAGGTTAAACAGTTTGTGAGTCATTTTGGATTATTATCCAGTTTTGTTTTGCCTGTTGAACCTGTTACTGATGACTTCATCTCCACACGCTGACTTTTCAGTATTAATTGATTGCTAGGTTCAAACTAGTGAGTTTATCTTAAATATATCAGTAACCAGAGAATAGATATTGCATAAAATTTTATCTTGATTTATATATATATATATATATATATATATATATATATATATATATATATATATATATATATATATATATATATACTCATAAATGTTATGCAAAGTAATTTTTTTCTATTACTCGACCATGGTAAGCATTCGGAAATCGACGGTGTGATTAAAAATATCGTACGAACTTGGTAAATTACAGTAAAGAAAATAACCTGTTTAACGACTCAGTGGATACAGTTGAGAATAACTGAATGATACATTTGGCCAAAAAAGTCTTAGTGTTTCCTATAAATCCGAATGCTCTAAGGTAGTAAATAATCTGGGTGATTAACTTCAATCGTCGTATAACCAAATTGATATAAACACGAAGACGCTTGAAAGCTTTTCATATTCTGGCCTTGCGAACGGTTAACGGTGATCGTTCGCTACAACCTTAATTAGTCAACCACTTATTTTTTCTACTAAATAGCAATTCTAACCACGGGAAGGTCTTTTTTTGACAGCTCATATCAACCTGACGTAGATAAGCCTTATTTTCAGTACCCGCTTTAACAGGTCATTTGAAGTGTTGCTTCTTATTTAAGACATTTTTACACGACCAGGTTGATGTCTGAGCCCTATTAGAGTTATTCCACTAGGGGACTCTGAGTTCAACGTGGTTTTTCAATCGAAAGGGAATTATGTGTGCTAATTATAGGGATTCATGCTAACAAAGGGTCCTTTTTAAACTTTGATACGTATCAACATTTCTTTGGAGAGATAAGTTGTGCTTTTTCCTTGGATTAACAAGATATATGATATTTCAGTTACAAACAAACGACTTACAGGTTGGTTTGTGGACAGGGCTTTCACAGACGTCAGTTGTCAATTTTATTGATTCTATTTCGATGAGTGAACGCGAATTCAATAGTATTTTTAAACTTATCAGAGAAAGTCTGGATATAGATTTTTGATGAACATAAATTTACTAGTAGTTTACCAGATGTAGTACTCATATTTATAGCGTTTGGTAGTGTTTCTTTAACTTCTAAATAATGAAGCACCTTTGTCAGCATCTGAGCTATTCATATAAAATAACCTTTTGTTCAAAAATTTATTTACAAGATATTTTCTATAAACGTTCGATCTAATTTTTGTTTTTTATTTATCAATATAGGAAGATTACTACTGGTCAAGTTTAACAATGATTTTCATGGTCGTTCCCGCTCTCTTGATGTCCAGTTTCAGTCTTGCGTGGTATTTCATTGACTATAAAGTTCGAGTTGATCCTCCGCGCAGCTATCGAGCATGGACGTTTAGACTATTGTTTCATGGACTCCAGTTGGCCCCACTAGTGAGGTTCGTTTACTTTAAGCCATACTTTCCTTGTTTGTATTTCATTTGATAAAGCGATTGAGTCCATCAGAAACTGACTTAATGTTAAAGAATTGGAGTAAATATGCTATGGTTTATTCACTGTATTCAGGTTATTTATTCCCCGAACCGGAGATTCATTAATGTCAGTTTAGAGTTGTTTGTGTTGGAAATACTTTATTTTTTGTCGTCAGTTTATGATGTGGTCGTTCTAAGTTAGGAATTGTGATGGTTGGCTCTTTCTTGTCTTAGACCTAGCAAGCGAGCTGCTATAACTATCAGTCGTAACTCAAAATCTAAGTAAATGTCAATTCTGGTTCAGTTTTATATTTACTTACCATATGATGTGTAAGATTTACTATGCCAAAAATTTAACGTACTGTGGTTGTGTTGTCATTTGGATTACGGTTTTTATTATTTCTATTCTTGTCATTACTTTATTATCTTCCGTATACTTCCTCGTAATAGTTAAAGAACTTTTATCATGGAAATTTGCTCAACGTGAAGATGGTTTTATCATAGACTGAAATAAGTTAAATGACTTTTGAATATCAAGGAATATAGCCTAAGTACTACTTCCTATTTTAGAATTCATTTAGTATATAATCAATGATCTTTTGGTCTCAGCAAAAATGGTGTAATTTAGCCATTAAGTTATATTTCAGTGTTTCATATATTAGTTTTCCACGAGAGCTGAACTTCTTAAGTTCAAGCTCGTACAGTTTCGCCGTTTTTCAGACTAGCATAAAACAAATTCCAACTCTTCCTGATTTGTATTGGTTCCATATCTAGTGTCAGTGAGTGACAAATTGACCACAAATTAATAGGTTTTCAGGAACTGTTATTTTTTTGGTTAGGCACCGAAAGTTATTAGGTGACTAGTGATTCTTAGAGACACTGGACAAATCGATGCTAGTTTGTTTAGTGGTTTTTTGTTAGTTCTGCTATGATATAGATAGTTTCTGGTGGTATTTTTTTGTCAAAATATATGTCATTTCGGTTTAGTTTACACTACTTTTAGCTACTTCCAAATGCACTGATACGAAAATTTCTCTCTTCCTCTCGAAGTATTCTCATATAACCATGCGTCCAAAGCCCCTGTCATAGAAGGCGTACTCACTGCTTTCCTGTGGTGGGGGTGTCGTGTGTGAAAGTGAGGGGATGAAAAGTGAACATCTGGTGCTCCTACCAGCTTGGTAGGTACAGATGGTTCACTTAGGGAAGTTGTAAAATCTTGATTTAAAATCAGTGTGTCAGCGGTATTTAGATTGGATTAAAATACGTTCCGTGCAGGATTATGTTATGGCACCCTGATGGGCTATTTTTTATCTAATCATCGCTAGTGGATACTTAGAGAAAACTCTAGAATCTTCTGATGTAAAAACTATAGATATCCTAACGTTTCTCTTATTATGATTCCTACTTCAATCCAACCATTTTATTTGGAATATAATTACGTTCCTGTTCCACTGTGTTCTGATTTTGGGACTTGTGGAGTGAAGTAGTGTCCAAGAGTACTTAACAATAGGAGTAGCTGTGTTTGTAATAAGAGAAATTATAAGTGGCGACAAGGAAAAGGAAAGTACTCTCAAGATGCCAATATCAGATGACCAGCTCAACCGAATACTATAACAACAGCAAACACAACTTGATGCACAAATGCGATTGTTGTCGACTGTGACGCAACAGCTTAATATCCACTGCTCGATTTCACACGCTATTTCAAGTACTACTTATGATGCGGATTGATGAAATCCAGAATCCTAAGAGAACTGAATAGGATCATCGACTGCTACGAGATGGCATCTAACGTTTTTCAACTTCATTGTAGATTAAACATCTTGGTCAGAGGTTCGAGAAGTGGCTCTCTAAGAAAATCACCATCGACTTGTGCACTCATGGAGCATAACATTTCATGCACAAACGTTCATTCAAAATCGTATGGTTCTTAAAATTATTGTACACTGCATTATCTTTGTATAGCTTGATCTGTGTCGTAATTATTATCTGTATGAAGAATAGTCTAAAGAGAGTTTGAATCTATTTATTGCCTCGCCTAACTCCTCGTTGCCTTTTGAAGTATAAGTGCCTTTGATGTATCTTTTGTCCAATAGTTTGATCATACATGTCAATTTATTTGTTAGGTGTTTTTACTATTGTGTCGATGATTTGTTATTTAGGCAGAGTATCAAATTCTTTATTTAGTTTGATAAAGGTGAGTACTAGCACTTGATTTGTGTTTAGGGTACGTTGTATAATGTGTCTAATTGTCTTTGTTTCATGCTTGGTAGCTAAGTGTTTTCTAAAGCCGGATTCGGTAAGTGGAAGCCGGTTATCCGTTAATTGAGATGGCCTGTTGCAAACAATACCAGCAAATAGCTTTCTTATTGTATCCAATGAGATGCTACGGTAGTTATTGGTATAGGTCTTTGGTCCTTTATTTCTGTTTATACTAATCACATTTGCATCTAGCCAGTGGTCTGACATAATGTTGTGATTTCTCCAAATTTGTTCGTTAATAGTACATTGTTTAGTTTGTTACCATCATGTTTGATCATTTTGGTTGTTATGGTATTGTTGCCAGGGCTTGTATATTTTTTCATGTTTTGTAGACTTTGTTCATATTGTCATTGTTGGTGGAGGGGTCTTGGGCTGTGTTTAGTAACAAGTAGATTGATGTTGAGTTTAATATACGACTAACTTAAGGTATTACAGTGATTATCTCCACTTTTTATGCTTGTTTTTCACTTCTAGGGCAGCTGATGCTATCTACTACGGTATAGCAAGTCGACAACCCGGGTTAAGTCTTCGTGTAGCTGCACAATATACGCAGTTGATGCTTTATGAAGATGCTGATTGTGCTATGCTTCGTTTGATTGAATGTTTCACTGAATCCGCTCCACAACTTCTGTTACAGTTGTACATTATTTTAACGCAACCATATCCTGCACCTAAATTTCAAAGTATGTTTCTGTCCTAGAATAATGAAGCTAATAATATTTTAAATTGATATCATGAATGGATGAATGTTAGATCACCGTCGAAAACCTGGAAGCACTGGATGGCCGTTTCGTCCTAGTATGGGACTCCTAAACAGTGCGCATCCACGATCCCGCACGCGAGATTCTAACCCAGGACCTCCATTCACACAGTTGCTCACTGAAGACAATGGTGGACGGTCGCGCAATATCGTGTATTGGTTGAATTTAGACATGAACACCGTTGGATTGCCGGCTAAGTGGTCTAGAGGTTATGCGTTCGTCCACGAGACCCGAAGTCCTTGGTTCGAGTTTCTCGTGCGGACTCATAGATTCTCACTGTTGAGGAGTCTCATACTAGGACGAAATGGCCGTCTAATGCTTCCATGTTTCTGGTGGTGGTCTAGCATCCATCCATTCATGATATCAATTTAAACTCAACAATCTCCGCAACCCAATATTAATGATATTTCGTAAATTTCTGTGTTATGACCCTGTTAGTTGCTTATAAAAAACTATTTAGAATATTTTGCCTTTCAGTCATAATTCATATTTTATGAACACTTGATTTTACTCATTATATCATTTGCTATATCTCTATGTGTAATAATTATAAAGGTGACAATAAATCATGGGAATTTATGTTTAAGACTAATGTGTTTTAATTTGCAGTTTAACGGTTGCCATTAGACCATATTTCTTATATTATTTGTGACTATTGCAAAGAAGAACAGACACACTTAGGCGAGATGGCCGTCCACTGCCTCCAGGTTTTCCATGTTGGTCTAACTTAAATCGTTTCATAGTTCAATGAATAATTGTATTATTCGATAATAGAGTGTTCTTTAGGCTTCGAGAGAATAGTCTTTCATCAGTAGTTATGTGAATTTTTTAAGTCGGGTTAAACTACTTCAAATTCCATTTCGCCTTGAAAGTTTCGTTAAACCCATTTTCATAGACTCAAAAATTATCAACACTCGTTTCTTTTATCATGTTTGAGTTACGTTCTACAAACTTCCAAGTGCGTTTCTTGCATTTGTTTATAATGTTTACCGTATCGTATTTCCTTGATTTTTATTTGGAACAATTTCTGGATGAGTCTTAGCCATTAGAAGTAGGAAATATGCGTAAATTGTAAGCATTCATCCGTAGGTATCTAAACGATACTGCTTGGCTGTTGCGAAACAGACAAGGGATCGACGTCATTGTCATATTGTGGTGTGCGCTACTTATATACACATAAGTAGTATATAACAATAGGCGCGAATAGAATGTATTTCAGTAGAAGATCGAGAAGGAAAGAACGAGAACGGAAAGCAATTGGTATGAAAATGCAAAAACAACGAAATCTGAGACGACGGAGTGATATTTGCAAAAGAAACAGTCGAGATTGAGACGATGGATTGATATTTTGCAAATTAAAGATTTCCTGTATGGTTCTCAGATTTTAGTGAGATATTCTGTAATTTCGCGTTCAAATAAATTTGGTTGTCCTCACCTGTGTTCTCCTTCACTGCAATATGAAGAGGTGACTTATTGGTTGACATTCAAATTCCAAGCACTTGGTCGCTCTTTCGACCCTCGCTCCACTTACTTTAGGCAGCCAGATAGAATCATTAACCTTCATACATAAAGTGTAGCCCAAAGTTGAGTACACAAATCTTTACTTGGTAAATGATTCAACTTAGGTGAATACGGTAATTACATAAATGTTGAATAAATTATGATTTGATGCATACTGGGTATATAACTTTCGTGACGAATAAAAATTAGTAAAATGTAATCACCTTTATCTAATGAATGTTGGAAATCTTTAAAATTGTTATTTATTTATTTAACAGTTTCAGACCGTCGTTTCGATGTTTTTTTACATTTCTGATAATTTTTTTCTGTTTTGTTGCGGGTTGGCACGACTTAAGAATAGTTATTTTTTAATACGAAGTTTTTCATTGATATCTCTGTATGTGATGGTATAGTAATTGTTAAAAAGCCCAATGAATTGGTTACCGTTTGCAATGAAACAGTTTCACCTATTACTCTTAAGGAACCTCAAGTGGTTTATTACAACTTTTACAACCAATTTTCATTTTCGTTTAGTTTGTTTGTTATTTGTTCAGTTTTCTAACATTCGAGATTGTAATTGAGAATCCGTTAGTAGTTATCGTTGCTGAACACTCATTTGTTCCCTTAATACATTAGCAAATTTAGCCATTCGTCTATGAAAGAATGTATGCTATTTAAATTTCTGATAAGCCTTCACTAAAAGACCACTATTTTTCTGAACCGCCGTGTGAAGAATTATGTGGCTGTGGATTTTACTGGTAAGAATGTTTGACCAACTACTTTTTTTAAAAGGAACTAGAAAGCTACTATTTGTGGGCAACGCGTGAACAGTTAAGTAAGGTTACGGATTGACTTAAGAACTTTTCGTAATGTCTTTTATCAACTATCCTTTATAACTATTTGGTTTTATCAAAGTCTTCTTTATTGTTTTTGAACTTTAATTTATCTTTCCCCCACGTTTTGTCATTTAGTGACTGCACAATTTGTTTCATGTGTGTTTTCATGGCTTTCATTGGCGTGGTCGTTAACCTACTACCAAACTGCTCTACGTAGTTCACGTATTGAAAAAGGAAATATCCAGACCTTAGGTATTATATTCTTCTTTTTCTGGAAGGCTGGAGTGCTAGCATCACGATTACTGGCTCTAGGTATACTTGCCTCTGTTGTCAAGGGATTTTGGTTTGTAGTAGCGCTCGGTGTTCATTGGTTGTTGGCTTCTGGTTGGTTAATCACTCGCGGGACGACGTTTTGTTCACCTAATTCACGAGCGTTAGGAGAACTAACCTTTGATTTTGTATTAGGTGCAGTTTATTGTTTTGATGTGGTCAATATTCGTGAAGGACGAAGTCGAATGTGGTATGGATCATGTTACTTAATATTTGGCATTGAAAACTCGGTATTTGCGTCATTATGGTGGGTAACACATTCACTTATTAATGCAAGTCTTCCAAAAAGTGTGTTCAAAAATCAACCATCCACGTGGAACACCGTTTTACCTCCATACACTCTTCTTATTATTGTGATATGCAGTTTTTGTATGGGCATAGTGATGATGATCGTTTATTACATTACGTTTCATCCATCGGGAAAGATTGAAGTAGGTTATGAGATTCCGTTTTGAAATATTATTGCTTGTTTTATTAATTAACCTCGCTTTATAATATTTTGAAATATATATAAATCTTTTTTGTCTTACGTTATGGTGGTGCGCTTTTTTGCTTCGTATAACGAGAGATTTTATCGATTATTTAAAAGGTAATTTCACGAAATCATACTGACATAATTCAAATTAGTTGCTTTTTTATGAATGTATGTTCAAACGACTGGATATGGATCTTACCGACTAGTGGAGTTTGTTTATTTGTTAATTGACTCCATGTAAGACTGAATATGTTAAAAATATAGCGTCATTGAGAATATTAAAGAGAGATCGAATGTGAAGCAACATTCAAGATCATGGCAATGAAATCGCGATTAAGGTCGTTGGTTCGAATTTCAAAGCACATAAATTCAAGGAGATTAGTCACTAAAGTTCGATTCATATTTCATTTAAATAAGAGAAAAATTGTATGCTATTTACAACCCATTGAATCGTCGAACTACACAATGCTTGCTAAAAAACACGGCATGAAATAATGCTGCTTCAGCTTAATTGATGTTAGAACAAACACATTAATCAGTAACCAACTATTTTCCATTCTTAGTTGAGACTGAACAAATTTTTTTTACGTGTAATGTTCTAAATTATGGAAGTATACTGATTTTACCAGTGTAGAGAAGTTTGCTCTGAAATATTGATTAAGTTACCAATATCTTTAGAGTACAGTAAAGAAATCAGCAGGGAACCGCGACCACAAAAAGCAAATTTTCGGTATATAGAATAAGTATATTCAAAAAGAGCATTATGAAACCGTCCCTAGTCACAATACATTAGCACTTTTTCTTATAATTCAGAATTACGTTGCATGACGAACTAACATCTATACAGATGACTGATGAGTACACAAGTGACTTCAGTGTTGTCGATACAATCATGGTGATATTTTGCTCAGACATCAATTGATCGACCGTAGTATGTCTTCAACATGGAGAACATGAGATTTCTTAAAAAGTCACTTACAACCATGGAAAGATTGCCAGTCAAAGATACTTGAGCTACTGTTTAAATAATACACAGCGGATTTTTACAGTTTGTAGCCAATCAAAAGACCAATGAGTGAATGACTTATAGTACATTAATAATTGAAAATAAAAAAAATATTTCTGTTTCTCCATAAACAATGAAATTGCCCGCGTTATTATTTCGGTTTCGTAATTTGAAGTCGAAGTATATTTTATAACGAAATTCATATATGTGACTCCTGAGAATCTTTCCTTTAAACCCCCATCCAGTCATAGATAATCTTTCGAAATCCGCTATACAGCTTCAGTTCTTTCTGCGGTACGGTTGACAAAAGACCTATCTGCAAAATATCTGTATCGTATCGATGCCTACAAAGGCCCTCGTATATTTCCATGTTAATAGAATGTACTCGTACCTTCCGTGGTTAACGAAAAATAATAATCCTGCCAACAAATCCTTCTATTTACGCTTCTCTACTTTAAAAAAATATCGTTACTACTTGTGCATTGAAAATGATCATTACAGAGCACACGTTTTACTACGCGATCTTTTTCACGGTCATCATTTTGGTAAATCTATTTCTCCAGGTTTAAGCCTGATTTTTAAGCTGAAATATTTGTCAGTGTTATCATCCATCTTGTAATTCTTATATTTACTATTACTATCAATATGTACACATTAGTTAATATGATTACTTACGCAATCTACCGTATTGTTACCATTATCTCACAATTTGCCTTAATTGGTCTAACATTCTCTACATATTTATGTAAACATTACTGTATATTAGACGAAAGGTTGGTGAAGATTGAAAGCACTATTATCTGCTTATATGTCGTGTTCTCATTTGCATGAATCGGTTTTCAATCCTGTCTATGACTTTGTCAGATAGCAGCTCGCACTAAAAGACTTTTCAAAATATGTCCAGTAGATTAGCTTTTATAAAGCTGCACTACATTGCGCAATGTTCTAAGGAATCGTATATCAATTATTCACAGGTTAGTCGATTACATTCAACTGGGTTATTAAATGATTCAAATGCCTGTGTAATGTTGCCGAAAACTAGTTGAAAAAAGAACTGTACAGAAAACAACCAATCCTTGGTGTTACGTTTTGTTCGTTGCTATAATGAAAATAATCAATTATACTGATTTTCATTTCTAGTTATGCATTCCGTGTGATGAACTGATAATAACTTCAGAACCGCAAGATTCATTAACCGTCGATCCAAATATTCAACTGTCAGAGAAAACTATCCAGTTATCAGTGTAAGTTGAATCAGTAGAAATAAAATTCCAACATCCAAAATTTGTTTTTGCTGTCAAACTAAGATTTTTCAAATCGGAGTTTATCTGACCGTATATCCAGCACACAGAAAAATTAGTCCCATCCCTTCCAGATTGCTATACTGGGGGAAAATAAAAAATATGTACTAAAGATAATTTGCTCATTTATTTTATATGTAACACATAGATTTTTCTTTAGTTAACATATGCTGGGAGATACCGAAGAAATGGCCTTAATATACGATCTAAGAACGTAGCTGCACAGAAGGAATAAGTTTATACACCATTTCATCTTTCACGAACATTCAGAATGACCTGATCATCCGATTCTATTTATAATGCACCATATTTCTGCTGGTCTACGCCGTTTTTCTGGTATGATATTCTTGTCATCACTATTCACTGTGGCTTCAATGAATGTAAGCGTATTTAGATACAAACACAAAATCTTAAGGAAATTCACTTTCTTTAAAATAAACAACGATCTTGCTATTTTTTTAATTGCTTTACGAAAATTCATTAGGAAATCATAAAACGGACAGTTTAACAATTTGCAAGAACCATTAACATTCATCAATTTCAACACACAACAATCACTTCCGTCTGCTGGCGAAAAATGAAGTCAAAGAATTAAAACAACAGGCTTGATGCCATCAATAGATTGGCAACGAAAATTTTTATATAATAGAAATATTAGTTTGTATGTATGACAAAACAGTTGTTCATCAATTCGAGATTTTATTTTAATGAAAATCAATAAAGCATGTCAGAATAAGTGTAGTGCTTCTTAATTTGTTGACGAACCCCCTAACCTAGTGTTCCATTGGCAGTTGGTTACTATAGATGATATTATTTCCAACTACTGGGATTAGTTGTACTTGCAAGTAAAAAGGTGTAGATAGACAGGCTTAGCCGCCATACGACATTTAAATGTGATTTCTGGTCCTTCAATAGCAAAAATATCTTATCTATAAAATCCACTTAACAGTTTATCAGATTACTTATGAGATGTTTATCAGTTTTAAAGTCACAGCCGTAATTTCAAGCAAGCTGGTAGGAAGTCGTTCACTCACCAACTACTAAATAGCAGCGCACTTTTAATCTGTATTACTTAGATCCATACCACGTAGACAAACAATGGGTAAATATGATAACGCGTTTATATCGAAATATTTCTCGTTGATGAAACTGAATGAAAAATTTATAAATTACGATGTAATTAGTCCGAACAATATTTAAATTGATAATATGAACAATGTGACTTTCATGTTGAGAAATAATACGTTTTTCACAGTTTTTCCATGGTATATGTCACCAACCTCTTGGTTATCGTACATATTCATTCAGAAAACATCTATGGAGCTTCGAAAATACTGCAGATTTGCTAAAGAAAATCTGATTAACACTTATTTCAACTCATTAACAAACTAAATGACAAATTTCACAGGAAGATTTCTAGGCTCGCATTATGAACAGTAAAACAAATCCTAGCAGATGGACTCATCTACTCAAAAACTTGAATGTCTTTTAGCAAGCTCATCTAAACAGCTTGAGTACCAACGGGAAACCAACATCAGAAAAATTCAATTGACTAAACGTTGATTGTGTTTGGTCAAAAATGCACAAAATGGACATTTAAATGCGGTCAATCATCGCACTGACTGTACCTTCGTGGATCCAGGCAATCACTTGACCTTACCTCCCACAGATTTCGCAGATAACAAATGGGACATTCATATCACTAATGAGTACGTTTCCACCTTTAGTAAATCAAAGGTGGGGAACGATGAAATATCCTTGCGTCTATCCAGCAAAACAAATGTTTCAACAGACATAAACTTTGTTTAAAAGAACTCGCTGACTAAAGAAACATTTTTAATTCACTAATAAAATACAGAGAAGAGAATATCGATTTCTAGTATCGTAGCAAATACGGGATAACAGGGAAAATATTCAATTACATAAACTCCACACTGTAAAACGAAGAGAAAATCCAAAATTCATGTATGTGTTCATCAACAAAATCATGAACTGAAGACTCAATTGTGCTGGTAAGCGGTTCATAAAGGCCAACTTATTAACTGCACTAGCAACAATTTACAAATATGTACAACCTCCACCGTAGTTTGCGAAGAGAAACTTTGACAGGCCTACCACTAAGAAAGATCTATCTGCTGACTGTTTTTAGAAAACCAACTGTCCACATAGTATTAAAATCATGAACAAACGCAAATTCAAATGTTGAAACTTGCAACAGCTTCTACCTTAAATACGTAACGTTGTCTGGAAAGACGACAAAAACTCTAAAAATAAATCTGATAAGTCTACCAATTGATCCGATTTCCTAGCCGCCTTTAGTGATTTCAAATTAAATCTAAGTGAAAATACAAGAGAAAAGGCGCGAAGTAGGAAAATGCTTTACTCAAATTCCAGGTATGTACAGGAAATCGTGTGCGTTTATGCCACTTGGCACAACCTTGTCCAGAAAATTCTAGAAGCACAGTAGCTATATTAGTAGAAAAGTAAATACTCTGTCGAAAAAGAGACGTGGTCTGTCATCGTTCCAAAAGCCTCGAAGAGACTTCCATTCATTGAGCCATGGTATATAAGGTCGGGACCCAGGCGTTCATTAAGAATAATTAATATTTGGGAAACATGCAACTCAATATACATCTAGAAACCAAAGAATCATACTGAAACTGCGATTAGATGGCTGGTACTGATTGATTTAGCATCAGAATATAGTCCAACGAGGTTCTTCCGGTTATATAACAGAACTCGTCCGGATTTACTGAGATGTCTGTTTAACGATTTCGTTTCATGGTAGATATCAGGTGTGCAAACATCAGATATTTAATCATACATGATTAGCCATAAAAGGTTTGACGAGGAAATTCCGGTGGTTATTTCTCTAGAAATAGTTAAGAAAATGGATATGCTCAATGAATAAACAATGCCTTATCGCGTTCAGTGACAAGGAAACAATTATATGACTGGTGTCGTCAATAAGTTTACAACCAACTACAATGAATATTACAACCCTGATCTTAAATTATGATTAAGGAAGAGAAACAAGTCTAGCATAAGAATCTTTGTATGCATGTAGTGGTGATCTCGACATAATTTGCCTGAAAGTTTATGATAGCAAGACTATCATATACGCAGATTGTGTCTGCTCGCTTCGTTACAATATAAAGATAAATACGAAGCACCATAGGAAGTTTGGTAAGATGCATTTTCCCTTAATAAATGGTATTTTAACTGAGCTCCTTGTCCGTGATCTTAATGGTTCACAAAAAATAATTATATTTTTGTTATATCCCAATGAGTTTACCTTATCTATGTATATATAAAGTTTGTTGCAGAAATTCAAAGTGGGATGTTGACAAATCTATGATTACCACGGTATTTGATCTCGTACCAACCAGCACCATAACTTATTTAGCCATTCAAACCACGAATGACCTACATGTTTGAAGTATTTATACTTTAAAAAAAATCCTTACTACTTGTGCATTGAAAATGATCATTACAGAGCACACGTTTTACTACGCGATCTTTTTCACGGTCATCATTTTGGTAAATCTATTTCTCCAGGTTTAAGCCTGATTTTTAAGCTGAAATATTTGTCAGTGTTATCATCCATCTTGTAATTCTTATATTTACTATTACTATCAATATGTACACATTAGTTAATATGATTACTTACGCAATCTACCGTATTGTTACCATTATCTCACAATTTGCCTTAATTGGTCTAACATTCTCTACATATTTATGTAAACATTACTGTATATTAGACGAAAGGTTGGTGAAGATTGAAAGCACTATTATCTGCTTATATGTCGTGTTCTCATTTGCATGAATCGGTTTTCAATCCTGTCTATGACTTTGTCAGATAGCAGCTCGCACTAAAAGACTTTTCAAAATATGTCCAGTAGATTAGCTTTTATAAAGCTGCACTACATTGCGCAATGTTCTAAGGAATCGTATATCAATTATTCACAGGTTAGTCGATTACATTCAACTGGGTTATTAAATGATTCAAATGCCTGTGTAATGTTGCCGAAAACTAGTTGAAAAAAGAACTGTACAGAAAACAACCAATCCTTGGTGTTACGTTTTGTTCGTTGCTATAATGAAAATAATCAATTATACTGATTTTCATTTCTAGTTATGCATTCCGTGTGATGAACTGATAATAACTTCAGAACCGCAAGATTCATTAACCGTCGATCCAAATATTCAACTGTCAGAGAAAACTATCCAGTTATCAGTGTAAGTTGAATCAGTAGAAATAAAATTCCAACATCCAAAATTTGTTTTTGCTGTCAAACTAAGATTTTTCAAATCGGAGTTTATCTGACCGTATATCCAGCACACAGAAAAATTAGTCCCATCCCTTCCAGATTGCTATACTGGGGGAAAATAAAAAATATGTACTAAAGATAATTTGCTCATTTATTTTATATGTAACACATAGATTTTTCTTTAGTTAACATATGCTGGGAGATACCGAAGAAATGGCCTTAATATACGATCTAAGAACGTAGCTGCACAGAAGGAATAAGTTTATACACCATTTCATCTTTCACGAACATTCAGAATGACCTGATCATCCGATTCTATTTATAATGCACCATATTTCTGCTGGTCTACGCCGTTTTTCTGGTATGATATTCTTGTCATCACTATTCACTGTGGCTTCAATGAATGTAAGCGTATTTAGATACAAACACAAAATCTTAAGGAAATTCACTTTCTTTAAAATAAACAACGATCTTGCTATTTTTTTAATTGCTTTACGAAAATTCATTAGGAAATCATAAAACGGACAGTTTAACAATTTGCAAGAACCATTAACATTCATCAATTTCAACACACAACAATCACTTCCGTCTGCTGGCGAAAAATGAAGTCAAAGAATTAAAACAACAGGCTTGATGCCATCAATAGATTGGCAACGAAAATTTTTATATAATAGAAATATTAGTTTGTATGTATGACAAAACAGTTGTTCATCAATTCGAGATTTTATTTTAATGAAAATCAATAAAGCATGTCAGAATAAGTGTAGTGCTTCTTAATTTGTTGACGAACCCCCTAACCTAGTGTTCCATTGGCAGTTGGTTACTATAGATGATATTATTTCCAACTACTGGGATTAGTTGTACTTGCAAGTAAAAAGGTGTAGATAGACAGGCTTGGCCGCCATACGACATTTAAATGTGATTTCTGGTCCTTCAATAGCAAAAATATCTTATCTATAAAATCCACTTAACAGTTTATCAGATTACTTATGAGATGTTTATCAGTTTTAAAGTCACAGCCGTAATTTCAAGCAAGCTGGTAGGAAGTCGTTCACTCACCAACTACTAAATAGCAGCGCACTTTTAATCTGTATTACTTAGATCCATACCACGTAGACAAACAATGGGTAAATATGATAACGCGTTTATATCGAAATATTTCTCGTTGATGAAACTGAATGAAAAATTTATAAATTACGATGTAATTAGTCCGAACAATATTTAAATTGATAATATGAACAATGTGACTTTCATGTTGAGAAATAATACGTTTTTCACAGTTTTTCCATGGTATATGTCACCAACCTCTTGGTTATCGTACATATTCATTCAGAAAACATCTATGGAGCTTCGAAAATACTGCAGATTTGCTAAAGAAAATCTGATTAACACTTATTTCAACTCATTAACAAACTAAATGACAAATTTCACAGGAAGATTTCTAGGCTCGCATTATGAAC